CAGATTAAGTCCTTCTTCATCACTGTTGGGACTATGGGATCATGTCTAGTCAGCAGAGGTAGGCTTGGTGTGGACAGGAGAGGGTCCTTCAAAGCTTTCCCTACTTCAATCTGTGAAATGAAAGTTACTTCAGCTACTTCCCACTCAGTTGCCTCTGGGGCTTGTTGTTTATTGGTTTAGTGAAATCTGGCCTGTAGATTGGGTCTTTCCTGAGGTCCTCTCAAGTTATTTTTACCACTCTGTGTTTACTTTTGCTCTCTTTTTTGTAGAAAAAATTTGGAGAGCCCAGAATTTTCTGGCCTATTCCACCATCTTTCCAGAATTGTATAAGATTTTTCTAAAAGCATTCATTGAATATCTTTCTTTTCTTTTTTAGTTTAAACCCATTCTGATGTAAAAATTAATTAATAAAGCTTTAGGAAATAATTACATTTGGATTTTCACACTCAAAACAGAAAAACATGATAGTTTGTGTGGACTGTTCTTGGTATAATTTTTGCAGTAGTATGAAAAATGACAGAGTAGAGCTTATTTTTTAAATCTTTTTAATTCATTTATCAAGTGAGCACTGATGATTCGGGGCTGAAAGTTCCTAAAAACATCACTGGAAGATGATCAACAGTCAAATACAAGGTAGTTTGATAGTTTTTAGGTTCCTTTACCCATATTGTTGCAGTTATGTGTTAAGAAATTATTATAATTATTATTCTAATTTATTATATTCATATGGATTTTTTATTTGGGCTTAATTGACATTTCTGCATAATTGTGTACTTAAGAGTTCATGTTTTCTAATTTAGAAATTGCAAATTTAGAGGATAGTCTGATAAAATGGAACTTAATGAGTGTGTCTCTATAAAATTTAGTTCTTATGATAATAAATGTACCAGAATTAAGTTAACTCTGTTAACTGTCGAGTTAAGAGGTAAGTGAGTTAAGTTAACTTAGTGCTTCAGATTATTCAGTGTAAGGATTTTTGAACTACTGATTTAATTTGATATAATCGAATTGTTTATGAAGATGGTTTAAAAATAAATTTGTATTGACTATCACTTTTTAACAATTGTAGGAGACAGTTTTTTATTGATTTAAAAATTTTTTGGATATTTTATTTTTTTGACCAATAAACATTTATTAAGCACCTACTATTTATGAGGCACTAAGTACTGGACATACAAAAAAAGCGAAAGATAATAGTTCCTGTGTCCATGGAGTTTACGGGACAAGAAGCAAACAAATATATATATATACAAAGTAATCTATACAAAGGAAAAATAGGAGATAATTGAAATGGGGAAGGCACTGTAATTAAGAATTGGGAAGAAAACTTGAAAAGGTGAGTTTTAGTTGAGACTTAAAGGAAGTTAGGGAGGTCAGGAGTCAGTGACAGTGATAGTGTTCCAGGCATGAAGGACAGCTGGAGAAAATGCCAGGAGACCACTGTGGGAATTAAGGTGTAAGGAGACTGGAATGGTAGAAGGGGGCTAGATTATGAATGTCTTATCTTTGAATGCCAAACAGAGCATTTTCTATTTGATCCTGAGGCCAATAAGGCACTGCCGAAGTTTATTAAGGGTATGAATGACATGATTGGACTTACACTTTACAAAAATCACTTCATGGCTCAATGGAGTATAGGCTCGAGTGAGGAGAGACTTGAAGCAGGTGGACTTCTCAGTAGTTGTTGTTATATTTGAGATGATAAGGGAGTGGCAGTGTCAGAAAAGAGAAGTGAGCATTGACTGGCCTTAGCAACAGCTAGATATGGGGGACAGTGAGGAATCTAGTAGATCATGAGCCTGGCAGGATAGCAATAGGGAAGGTAGGAGGAGAGGAGGGTTTCAGAAGGAAAGATCATGAGTTCAGTTTTTGGGTATGTTTAAGATGTCTGTGGGACATCGAGTTTGAGATGTCTGAAACGCAGTTGGAAGTGGGAAGTTGGAGGTCAGCAGAAAGCTTGGGACCAGAAAGCTAGATTTAAGAATCATTTGGCTTGAGATCCATGGACGCTGATGAGATTCTCAGGTGAAATAGTACAGTTGGTATTACACAGGCATTGGCAGCTGCCAGTTCAGAGTTGAAGAGAGCTTGTTAGAAAAACCATAAGATTATAAAACCCTTTAACCAAGGATAACCTATATGGCATAGGGACTACATTGGTGAGGGAAAAGGAGGCAGCTTATCTCACATCATAAAGAATATTCTTACCTAGAGTACAGGATGAATGACCTGAAATGGACAAATCAAAGTTGAACATACTCATTCACATATATAAAGGGTGTGTGTTGAAATACATTAAACTCAACAAGGCAAGAAATAGGACCAGGAAGAGTAGAAGAGGGTTTAAGAGAAAGGTCAGGACAGGCAAGGAAATATTCACAACTTCAATATTTGGGTAGACTTAAAGGAAAGAAAGATTAAAAACTGATTGACAGAATTAGAAGAGGGGCAGAAACAGGTTGGATTACTTGTAGATTATTTAACATCATGATAGGTAAACATCATCTGTACTATTTTTTTTCAGAAGAAAGTGAGGTAGGGCAGCTAGGTGGCACAATGCACATAGAGCTCAGGCCTTGGAGTCTAGAGGACCTGAGTTCAAATGCAGCCTCAGACACATAACACTTTTGTCTCCTGCCAAGTCATTTAACCCCGATTACCTCACCAAAAAAAGCAAAAGAAAGAAGAAGAAGGAGGAGGAGGAGGAGGAGGAGGAGGAGGAGGAGGAGAAGAAAGAAGAAGAAGAAGAAGAAGAAGAAGAAGAAGAAGAAGAAGAAGAAGAAGAAGAAGAAGAAGAAGAAGAAGAAAGGAAGAAAGGAAGAAAGGAAGAAAGAAAGAAAGAAAGAAAGAAAGAAAGAAAGAAAGAAAGAAAGAAAGAAAGAAAGAAAGAAAGGTGAGGTAGAGAGAGGAGGAAGAAAATGCATAATTAACAGTCATATTTGTGGATACAGGTAAAGTGAACTGTCACTATAATGGAAGAGAATAGCATTGTAGGTTAGAAAGCAAAGTCCAGCAGCATATTGCTTACAAGAAACACACATGGAAGATACATATTATCACAGAGTTCAAACAAGGACCTTGGTTAAAATAAATCTTGACCTCAGACAGGGCAGAAGCATTATGTTTGATAAACCCAGAAATCACAGACTTGTAAAAATTAGGTTTAGATCAACACCCTATACCAATATAAGTTGGATATAGGTTTGGAGAGAACGGAAAGAAATTACCTTCCCAATCTATGGTTAAGAGAAAAATTTGTAGCTAAAGAAAAGATAAAAAGGATCTTATAGGATAAAATGGATACTTATGATTGCGTAAAATTTAGTTTTTCTTTTTACAAATAAATATAAAGTATCAAAAATTGTCTTGTTTCTTGTTACAAAAGGAAATGTTTCTTGTTACAAAAGGAAAATCATTGCAAAAAATTTTTCCACTAAGGGAGTACCCAGAGGACTTGAGTCTCAAAGACATGGGTGCAAATCTAGTCTTAAGCACTTAATAAGTCACAATCCTCCTCAGCCTTAATTCCTTATTTCTAAAATGGGAATAGCACTAGACCCTATTTTCCAGGGTGGTTGTGACACAGTGAGGTAATATTTGCACTTTGCACAGTTTTGAAGCTTTTGTTATTACTATATTAATTTAATAATTGTAATTAATGGCACTTTTGGTAGAAATGTGAATTGGTCCAAGTCATTCTGGAAAGTAGTTTAGATCCATGCCTAAGTGAAAAAATCCAGTCAAAAAGTATTTATTAAGCCAAGTATTGTATTTCAAATAAAAACAAAAAGAACCTTACATTCTTATGAAGAAAGAGGACTCATAAAAGGAACCTACATGATGGAAGTTGAAGGGCACCATGACAAAGTCTGGATAGTGAAATGTGTCTGCTTACTTCAAATAGAGGTTGCAGGAGAAATTCACCAAAGGGACAAGGATGAATCAGAAACGCAGAAGCAAAGTCTTGGAAGTAAATATCATTTGACCCAGATGTTTGACATATTCCACCAAAACCTTGAAAGAGGAAAATGATCTATATCTATAGAAAATTTTTAGAATAACCCTTTCCTTTTGCCAACTTGCAAAAATTTTTATAGTACCTCTTTTTGTGGTTGTTAAAAATTGGAAATTAGTGGGTGTACTTTTATTGGAAACAGGCTGAACAAACTGTGGTATATGAATATAATAAAATATTATTGTACCACATTGTACCATAAAACTTGAACAATTTCAAAGGAAAATAGGAAGACTTCAGACTCATGCAGAGTGAAGTGAAAAGAGAACATTGATAACATTGTGGGGGAAAACAGCTTTCAAATATTTTAAAATTCTTATTAATGCAGTAATAAACATGCCTCTAAAAGAAGGAAAATGAAATATGACACTTTTTCCTGCCTGAGAGTAAATAAACATAAAATGTAGAGAGAGATACATTTTCAGATATGGCTAATGTGGGAGTTTGTTTTGCTGGACTACACAACTGTATTTTGAGGGCTTTATTTTATAATTATTATTTGTAACTGAATGAAAGAGGTAAGTTTAATAAAAATGCTTTTTAATTGAAAAAATTATAAACAAAAGGAAAAGATCATAGGTTTGTACATTATCAATATCATTTAACAGAGTACTATAGTGAAAGGCTGGTAATGTAAGAGAAGGTGAAGGTAATGCTTTAGTTGTTTGCTGTTTTGTTGTTTTTGTTATTTTACCCAAACCTCACAATATTGTGTGAAATAATCCTTTCTCGTTTGTGTCCATATGAATTACCAGAAGTTGATGAGAGTCATCAATCTGACCAGTCTAACTAGGTTCCCTGCCATATGTTGGAGAAAATGTAATCTCTCTTCTTAATTTCTAGGTTAGAAAAATGACTAATGGAAAAATAGAAATAGAGATACTGATTTGTGATAGAGTATGTGTGTGTATTCTCCACTGGTATTCATTTTAGGATCACTTTACGTTTTATTATGACACTCAGTTTCATCTTTATTCACCATCAGGTCAGCAAAAAATTTAAAGGCAGACAATAATCAACAAAGTTACAAACAGAAGAAGAAAAGGAAACATGTGAAAGTACGGGAGCGTTTATCAAGTAAACATAATAAGGTACACATTAGCCTTTTTTTTTCAATAATGGGTTATCCTTTCTCTGGCATTTTGTATATGTAACCAGTTTTAAAATATGCATGCCTATATGGTTCTTTGTAGTTCAAAGTAAAGATTAATTTTCAAAGATGATATATTTAATTTATCCAAGATATATGCATGCATTCATTCTACATTTTATGACATAATGTAATACAGCTAGATATATTTAGTACTTTTCTACTAAAACATAGATTATCTTTGTTACAGTTAGTAATATATCCTGTAACCATTTACTATTCCTAAATGCATATTTAGCCATACTAAAGAAATGACTTTTCTCAGTGCATTTTTTCATTTTATGATATTTCACCAACACTGTACCTCATGAGATTCATGCTAAATTTGTTTTCTACTTCATTTACATTTAATTACTGCATTTGTTGCAAATTTATCTTTGATATTTTTAAAAACATAGCAGACACTCAAAATAATATGTCATAGTTGTTTCTTATCATGTACTTTTGTGCATTTAAAGTATTCTCCTTAAATTAAGATATGTTAGAGAGCTAGAATTGAAAAGAATCTATATATTTTTAAAGTCTTACCTTTATATGCATTGAATAATGATTTCATTTTTGTTGTTTGTATTGGATTCTGGGTGTTTTTTCCCTATATTTAATGATTTCTTCAAATTATTATAGAGCAATTCTGAAAATGATGAGTCAGAGTCACCAGAACAATGTAGAAAGAAAATTAGAAATATCCTTCAAGATTATAAATTACAAAGAGAAACACAGAGAGCACTTAAAGAAGAAGACAGGAAGAGAAAACGCCTTGCTGAAAGAGAGCAAGAAAGAGAAAAATTAAGAGAGGTAATAATTACTAAATGTTAGATTTGATTCTTCTTGAATTCCTGTTAATCATAAATTCTTCAAGGCTGCGTAGACTAACCTAATGACTTTAAAGTTGACCTGGAAGCATTCCTAATATTGTTTAAGTTGACTGTTTTGGATTTACATAGAACTCCTGTGCTGATAACCACTGGGCTTTGGTAAGTTTCTGTTAAAGGGCTAAGATTCCACCTCCCTGCCTCCTTTTCCTTTTTCCCTTCTAATTTTGACTGCTTTAGTTTTGATTGGGCAATTGGGATCACTTTTTTTATTGCACATTTTATCATTTGTATTTTTCTCTTTCCTTGATTTGATCATGAATCTGTTACCATATATTTATCAAGAGGTAATTTTTCTAGCACCTCTAATTTTTCTTTATGATGCGACCATTTAACATGTATCTGTTTGGAATCTGTCTCAGAATATGGTGTAAAGTGTTAGTCCAAACTTAATCTCTGAGATTCTATTCACTAGTTTTTTGTCAAAAATTTTAACCTGTTTCTTGGAGTCTTTAGGTTTGCTGAATTTTCTTCTGCAGGAACTCTTATCTCTTTAACTTTTATTGGAAGTACTTAATCAAGCTCATTTCCATTGTTTTTCCATTTCCTAATTTCCATTGAGGTATTTATGCCCTAATACATGATTAATTTTTGTGACTATGCCTTGCATTTCTGAGGATAATGATACTCCTTTCTATGCAAATCTATCCAGTATTCTCCCATAGTCTAAACTCTGTTCAAGCCATTAACTTCTTTCTTGTTTATTAGTTCTGACTGTGACTTTGATGACTTCAGTAGTTGTTGAATCTGTGATTTCCTGAGTTAACTTTTTTCTCTGGAAAATTTTTTTTCATAGAACTGGAGTTACCCAGAATGTTTAAAACAGAAGCAATTAATTACCTTTAATAGAATGTGATACTTGAGGATAGAAACTATGATCATATTCTCTCAGTTTTCCCAATGCATTCCCTATGTTAAATGTGTACTATTTGATGAGTTCAATTGAAGGGAAAAGAAAATTCTTAAATCCATGCTTGCTGAAGATAAAAAGAATTTAATGCATTAATTGTTCCTGTTTTTATTTTCCTGACAGTCAACTGTTGTTTTCCCTTTGTCTTGCAGGTGGTAAACAGTTATGCTTCACCTACTGAGTGTCCAATAACAATCAAGCTTGTTTTAGATGAAGATGAAGAAACCAAAGAACCTTTGGTTCAGATTCATAAAAACTTGGTTACTAAATTGAAACCTCATCAAATAGATGGTAAGTATATATTGATATATTTAAAATACAGTTTTAAATTATTTGTTTGCATAATTCTTTTTCAGTTGTTTTGACACATAAGCATTTAATTTATAATTTGCATGCTTTGGTAAAAGGGAAATTTTTTGTGGGATGTGTGTGTATTATGTTTTGTTTTGCATTTTAAGCATTTTATTTTAAAATTATTGGAGCTATTAAATATAGTCATTTAAATTTCTTTAAATAAACATAAGCATGAAACAAATGATGAAAATTATCTTTAGCAAATGTGAATTTAATAATTTTTTTAAACTTAAACTTACCAAATATATGTCATATATTCAACATGTGCAAAGGCCTGGAGACTCAGAGAATATGAACATAGTTCCTATCCCATTCCATAATTCTTGTTAAAAATTAGAAATTTTCACTCAAAAAAATTATACAGATTTTAAGGTTCTTTTATTAATTTGTCTTACATAGGTGTTCAGTTTACATGGGATTGCTGTTGTGAATCCGTTATACAAACCAAGAAATCACCAGGCTCAGGATGCATTCTTGCCCACTGTATGGGTCTTGGGAAAACACTACAGGTAAGATACCATAAAAATCCAGGATAAGTCATATATTATTACCTTATCTTGAAATTTAATGTAGTACATACTAAATGTCCTAAAATGTTTTATACTTCTTGATGATTCAGAATTATGGATATTCCTTTCTTAATGACCAAGACTTTCACTGGAAAATATTCTGAGTCCTCACCTGCCCATCTTCAGAGAGTAAACACATTGATAATGAGCCACATAGCATCCTGGCTTCTGTAATTATTACCCTATTCAATTCTCATGACCATTGTCTCCCATCTATTTAAAAGAATGTAGATTTTAGATTTTACTCCTCTTGAATCTTATTTTCATTTTATATATGTTTAAAGATCATCATATGGACATGTCTCTTGCTTGTATCCCCTTGAGAATGTAAAGGTTTTTAAGGGTAGGAACTTTTGGTAGGCTTGAGAATATGAAGTAAAGAAAAAGAGAGTTCTCACCCTATAGAGCTCATAGTCTAATGGAAGAAACAATTGAATTAGATAAAAATATGCATTTGGTAAATTTGGGGTAATCTGTAGAGGGATGGTACTAGCTTTAAGGGACTACAGGAAAGCCAGACAGAGAGAGATGAAAAGAGAGCATTCAATGTATGGAGAACAACCAGAAAAAATTCCTGGAGAAGAGAAATGAAGTGTGTTGTGGGAGAAACAGCAAAGAAGGGAAGACTAAAAGATATAGAGGGACCAGATTATGAAGCTTTTGAATGCCAATCAGAAAATTTTATATTTCATCATCCATAAGATAGGAAACTACTGAAATTTATTGTGAAGAGAAATAACATGGGTAGACTTGAAGTTTAGGAAAAACACTTTGATAACTCAGTAGTACTTAATAAATATTTATAATGATTATGATAATTTATATAAAATAAAATGGAAGGTGATTTTGTCATAAAGACACTAAAAGCTAAGAAAATCAGTTGAGTATATTTCAGGTGCTAGGAACAAACTATAAAGAAACAGGGATGAGATGAAATGTTCATTGAGGAATGAAAGACTGGTTGTTTTAGCTAAGTCATAGAATGTGCTAAAGTGAATCATCTTTGTTAAGATAGAAATGATCCAGGTTATAAAGAACTTTAAAGACAAATAAAGGAATAACATAAACATCTGGGTTTATTTATATAGTCAGAGGGCTGTCATTTAGTAAATATACTTGAGGAGTCAGTGTGGAGAATGTATTGGAGTGAAGATAAGATTTGAAGCAAGAAGACAATTATGAGACTTACAAATTAGAGGTGATGAAGCTGCAAAGATTTCTACCCCCACTCCTGAAACCACCAGTTTTCTGCTTTTCTTCTATTAACTACATTAGTTTTGTTCAGAAACTGTTTAAATTTTATGTAATCAAAATTATCCATTATACTGCCTATGAATCTCTATTTCATTTGGTCATAAATTTTTCCCTTATCCATAGATCTGTCGGGTAATTTTCTCAATCTTCATTAATTTGCTTGGGATGTTATTTAGTTTTTTAGTTGTTTAGATATTATATATAATATGATATTATAACATTTCTAAAGTAGTTTAAAAATTATTGATTTCAGTTATGTATATGTCATCCTGTAACTAAGAATGCTTGATTTCTTTTTTTTAGGTGGTAACTTTTCTTCACACAGTTCTCCTGTGTGACAAATTGAATTTTACTACAGGTTTAGTGGTTTGCCCCCTTAATACCATCCTTAACTGGATAAATGAATTTGAGAAATGGCAGGAGGGATTAGAAGATGACAAAAAACTTAAAGTGCCATGAATTTTTTTAATTTTTAGGTTTTTAAAGACAATATTTAACATGTATTTTTAAATATGTATTTTAATACATAATTTAGGATTTTTAATTGAACGAAATTGAGTAATATTTTATTGAAACATTTTGGTTTTGGTATTCTTTAAGATTAAAAATATCTGTTGATATTTAATATGCTTTTTACCAAGGTATCTGAATTAGCAACCAAGAAATGCCCTCAAGACCGAAGTCTTTTACTACAAAAATGGCAAGACAATGGTGGTGTTATGGTCATTGGCTATGAAATGTACTGAAATCTTGTACAAGGATGAAATGTGAAGAGTAAAAATTTAAAAGAAATATTTAATAAAACTCTTGTCGATCCAGGTAAAATAATGTATTTAATACTGAAACTTCAAGTCACATTTTGATTTTATATTTTTGCTAATATTTATTGAACATCCAAAGTAGTCTTGGAGAGGAAAGGAGAGTTATAAATTTTGAATTGGTTAGAACATTGGAAGTCATCTGTGTCAGCATTCATATTAGAGATATGGACTATAGCACTTAATAATAAAATTTAATTTTGCGAAGTGCTTTTTTTCTCATTTAGTTTTCTCAGCAAACTTTTGAGGAAGATATAATTATTATCTCCATTTTTTAAATGAGAAAATTGAGTCTGAGAGAAGTCAAGTGACTTTCCAGGGACATGGAACTGAGACAGGATTTAAACCCGGTTCTTCCTTCATCCAAGTTATACCGTACAGGTTTAAGACACTTTTTATTTTCATTATTTCTGTTTATTTCTATTATATACCAGGTTTTGTGAGAGGTGCTTGGAATATGAAGCTACATATATATTAACATATATGTAGTTTCTGCTTTAAGGAGCTTTTATCCTAATTTACATATTATTGCTATTTTATTCTAATTTACATATTTATCATTTACATAGATAAATAAATTCTAGAGATTAATATTTTATTCAAGATTCAGAGTCACAACTTGTGCTTTAGGAAACTCTCTTTGACAAATTTGTGGAGGACAAATTGTAATACTCAGAGATTTGAAACCAATTAGGAAACTATTAGTATAGTTCAGAAAAAAATCAACAGGAATAACTTTGTCCTCATCTGAAGTGGGAAATTCAGAGGAAAGAAAAACTGTCATTTGTTGGCATAGGTATGAAATAAAACTGGTCTTCACTTGATAATTAAGCAGGTGATATGAAAAGTTCTCACAAAATAGCAATACAAACATGGAATGTGTTTGTAATTAATAATAAAATTTGTGAAAAATGGTCAAAAGAGTCAAAGGTGGTGATGCCATGTAAATTCATATATCCTTTATACTAATGGTATATGTGTAAATTTGTCCAGCAGTTCAGGAACACAATTTGGAATTGTGTACAATAAAAAGGTTTCTGTGTTTTTAATGCTCCTTGAGCCAAGGAAGTCAGAGACAGAAAGAAAAATATACATTCCATATATTAATATAAATACCTATTGTATTGGGGGGAGAGGGAACACAGCCAAAAAAAGCCATTAGTTCATATTTAGATACTGTTTCAGCCAGTTGTGATTTTTGAATGAATTGGCATATTTTACAATAATTTCTATTTTTACAATAATTTATATATAAGTATATACTGTATTTTACATAATAAACAAAAATTTGAAGAATTCAGAGAATGGAACATTGTATGAACTAATTGGCAAAGTAAGTAGAACCAACAAAATAATCTGTCCATTGATATAAATAAGTAAATGCAAAATGCAATGACAGATACTGATTCAAGTGGACAGATGATGAGACAGGCACATGTCCTTCCTCTGTATAGAGAGGTGGGATTTAAGGATATGAATATTCATATGATAGATGGCTGCAATTTTTTCTGTTTTCAGGTATGATTTTTTGCATTATAGAATATGTGGATGGTTGAACAGATCAGAAAATGTAGTATAAAAATTAAAAGACACCTTTAAAAAATAAAATAAATCAACCTTAAATGACATGTTCTTGGTCAGATAATGTATAAGCCTTGCTTCAGATATTCTTACTCTTAATCCATTGATATTTCTCCTCATTTGGCGAATGTGGGTCCCTAGCACATATTTTCCATATTTAGTCATAGCTCCATTGTGCAGTTTGAACTTAGATAATCATTAATTAATATAAATTTTTACAGAGTTAAATAATAGTAAAACATTTTTTGGTAGGCCCAGATTTTGTTGTTTGTGATGAAGGTCATATACTAAAAAATGAAGCTTCAGCTGTATCCAAAGCTCTGAATTCTATTCGTTCAAAAAGATGAATTATTTTAACAGGAACACCTCTACAAAATAATCTAATTGAATGTAAGTACTATTCCCTTCTGAGTTATTCTGAGCTACTTTTTCAGCATGGATGTGATTTATGTTCCTAATGTCTTTACCTACAATCTTTTTAAAATTTTTTATTTTATTTATTAACTTGTCTGAATTATTTCAATTATTATATTATTTATTTCTGTTAAAATTTTTCTTAAATTATGTCCTTGTGTTTTAAAAATATTAGTAAAGTTTTGCTTATCACTACATTTTCTGAACTATTTCCAAAAAACGTGCTTAGCAACATCTTCAAATATAGTTGGATTGTTAAATAATGATTTAGCAAGTGCTAATTGAATTTTCACATTTCATCGATCTCATTTATTTAAAAAAAATCTTTGTTCATCATTGTCGCATTAATGATATAAAATTAGTTGAATAAAGTTTGATATATTTAAAATGACAATTTCTTTTTCTTCTCTTAGATCATTGTATGGTTAATTTTATCAAAGAGAATCTACTTGGTTCTGTTAAGGAATTTAGGAATCGATTCATAAATCCAATTCAAAATGGCCAGTGTGCAGATTCCACTGTGGCAGATGTTCGAGTAATGAAAAAGCGTGCCCATATTCTCTATGAAATGTTAGCTGGCTGTGTTCAGGTAGATATAAAATATACGTTATATTCATCTATACTCAGTCAGTTTTACTTGAAAGATCTGTATTATATGTAAAAAATCTATAATATACCAGAATTAATTATATTGTGAGAACATAAATTTATTTTCATTTGTTTATTTTACAGAGAAAAGATTACACAGCATTAACAAAGTTTTTACCACCCAAACATGAGTATGTATTAGCAGTAAGAATGACTTCTCTTCAATGTAAGCTTTACCAGTACTATTTGGATCACTTCACAGGTAAAAAAAATTTTTTAATTACTTTGTGTGATTATTCTTTCATGTTAATTTGTAAGGGCTCATTTGTTCCTCAAATAAAATTATTTTAAAAATTTGGATGTATCTCATACTATCCTCATTTTAAGAATAGTGCAGAATGAAGTGCAGAATGAAGCACGCTCCCAGTAAGAAAAATTTAACATCTTTTGTATTCACAAATCATTCTGAAATAATACATTGTGACTATAATCTGACTGTATTTTCTAGTAATAGTGAGCTTAACATAAGGAATTTGATGACAATTTTGTGTGAAACTTTTGGAAAGAAAGGTAAACTAGGAAACACTTGGTAGACTATAATGATTACAGCCTATATTGCAAATATATAGGCAGATCAGAATTATTCCACAAACAAGGGTTTTAGAAACATTTTAAATCTTTATTTAAAAAAGATTCTATTTCAAAGATTATCATATCTACAAAACTTGTACTGATAGCATCCTTAGAAAACAGACACAGGATATTCTGATAAAAAAATTTTTAGAAATAAATTGGGAGCACAAGGGGAATTTATTAAAATACTAACAAAATTCAGGTAAAGGTAGGTTTTCTGATTGTGATTATATACTGTATCTGCAGTTATTAAACATTCCATATCTTTAGGGAAATGTTACTATACTAAAATCCTAAAATGTTTTTTAGAGTATTCATATAAATAAATGAGTAAGTAAATTTTGGACCTTGCTATCATGGCATATTTTTACCAGAGGCATACTTATATCAAAATATGAAAATAGTAGAAGTTAATAAAAGTTATTGAAGATTCACAAAAAATGAAAACCTCTCAAATTACAAAGAAGATATTTAAGCAAAACCTATGGATACTGTATGCAACATTCTGTCTTAATTCCCATAATTTATTTTTTTCATAGACTAAAGGAGATATATGTGCCGTTATCTAGTAAAGGAAGGAGGTTAACTGTACCAGATCTTAAACTGTATTATAAGGTGGTAATTTATCAAATCAGTGACATAGAGTAAAGGATACATTATTAAGTGATTTTAAGCTTTCAGGATAAAAATTCACTATTTAGTAAAATTGTTGGGAAAACTGAAAAGTGGTCTGGTAGAATCTGGGTATAGACAAATGTTTTTGTTCAGCCATTTTTCAATAATGCCAGACACTTCGTTGACTCATTTTGGGTTTTCTTGCCAGAGATACTAGAATGGTTTGCGGTTTGATTTTACAGAGGAAACTGAGACAAACAATGGCTTTTCCAGGTGCTTAATGTTGTATTTGAACTTGGGTCTTCTTGATTTCAGCTCCAATATTCTATCCATTCTACCACCTACCTATCCTTGGACTAGTATCTTAACACCATTAACCACATTAGGTCAAAATGGATGTGATGTGACTGGAGATAGCCTAAGTTAAAAGAACACGGAATATATTATTAGACTTATGGGATAGATGAATTTATGATTATGGTATAGTGAATTAATGATTCCAAATAAAAATGTTCTAATATTCAAGTCATCTCACAATTAGATTTCCCAGGTTCTAAACTTGATCTAGACACAGTTGTGCATCTACTGTCTTTCCTACATCTAAATTTTTATTGTCTTTTCCTCAGTAGGCAACCCTTGTTCTTATATTTCTCTAATAAGTATTGAGTTATAAGTAATAAGATCTTTTTAATGTCAATAGTTTTACCTCCCTCCAGATCTATTAAACATTTAAAACATATTTAGATTCTTGTTGAAATGGAGGTAACTCTAGACAGTGGTATTGATTTTCTCCAGTGAGAAAATTTGAACATTCTAAAATTTAACTTATATGCCTTTTATTATCAGGGAAAGGAAGTACTAGTGAAGGGGGAAAAGGAAAAGCAGGAGCAAAACTCTTCCAGGACTTTCAAATATTAAGCAGAATTTGGACTCATCCGTGGTGCTTACAGCTGGACTATATTAGCAAAGAAAACAAGGTAAATTAGATATTCATACTTAAGTATCTATTTAGTAGTCTGATTTCATTCCATCTCATTTTCTCCAGTGTTTCTCCCTCTGTTATCCTTACTATTTATAATTTTCAGCATTTACTTCCATAATATTTTGAGTACCACATTTTCTCCCCATCTCTCCCCTCCCCCCATTCTAAGACAGTGTATTCAGTTGGATATAAGCTTATACATTTATATTGAACCTATTTTCACATTAGTCATGTTGTAAAGAAGAATTAGAAACAATGTCATCCTCACTCTTTTAATGATCTTCATTCTCTCCCTGTCTCTTGCTTCTTTCCTATTCCCTATAAACATGTCTGTGTTTGCCCATTCTCAAAAAATGCACCTGATCTATCTATTCCTGCCAGGTATTGTCACATCTTTTCCTTTTGTAGCAAAATTTCTCGAGAAAGCTGTCTATAATAGTTCCTTCCGACCTTTTTGCTAACTTTTCTTAACTCTGTATAATCTGGCCTCTCATTATTCAGCCAAAATTTCTTTCTCTGAAGTTACTAAGTTTCTTAATTGTCAAACTTAGTGGTCTTTTCTTAAACTTCATTCTTTGTGACCCTTCTGTAGTGTTGTCCATGACTCTTGATTACCTGCTTCCCACATCAGTCTCACCTCTGAGTTTGCAGTATCACTGGTTGCCTGCTGGATATTCCATACTAATTAAGCTGGAAATTTTTCAAATTCATCGTATCTGAAACCAGTCTTATTTTTGTTGGACTGCCACTACTGAAAGTATCGATATTTTTACTTTTGGTTTCCAGGTAACATTGGCATCAACTTTAGCTCTTAATTATCTTTCATATCACATAGATGTCAAATCTTGGCATATCTACATTCCAAATACCTTTTACATTTACCATTTCAATTCAGGCTGTCATCACCAATATCGTATTTCACCTAACAATATGTCTAACTAAATCATTGCCTTATTCATTAAGCAGTTCTCTGTTTGCCCTAGAATCAATTGTATACTACACTATTTGATGTTTAAATTCCTTGTAAGCAAGCCTAACATATTTTCCACGTTCATATATTATTATTCTTATACACACTGAGTTTCAAGAAAATATTCTTTCTTACCATTACATCTTTAACTCCTGTACCTTTGCACGCATACATGTCTAGAATGTACTGCTTTCATTCATAAAAATCCTCACTTCTTTCTTTCAAAACCTTATATTCAAAGTCTTTATTCCCAAGTTACTAGTATGTTACTTCTTCAACTGCGTAATATTTGACTGCAAATCTACATGCATAAATGTTATTTCTGCACCGTAGTCTAGCATCTGTTTGAAGAAGAGGGCAGTATAGTTTCGGTACATTTCATTATAAGTTCATTTTAAGTCTTGTGGAGTTAAGAGCTGGCTATTGCATTGATTAGGGTTTTTAAGTTTCCAAAGTTGTTTGTCTAATTTACCTCTTTGTATAAATTGTTCTTATATCACTCAATTTAGTTGTCCCAGGTTTCTCTAAACATTTTAGAATATTTTTTGTGAATAATCATTTGAAAAGTAGGGGTTATGCAAAGTTTATTTTCATCAGCTTACTCCTTACCTGTAATACTTTTTTATTTGTTCGGCTATTTCTTCAGCTTGTGCTTGCATTTTAGAGTTGAGTCTCTATGTAGTGTTTATTATTAACAGTCAGCCAACATAGTTGTAGGAAAGCCATTTGCTAAGATGGTATAGAAGAGTAACTAAACAAATAACCCTCTACAATCCCAGGGCCATATTTTACATGTAGTGATAGTTAAAGAATAGGCTGAAATCTAGGTTATAATGGTAATGAGGCACATGTAGGGAAGAGCGAATGTTGCCCAAGCAAGTTAAAAACTCTGAAATTCATATAATTCATATAAATCCCCCACACAGGAGCAGATTGCTCAGCTAGTCTTCTTGCTAATGCATTGAAACTTCATTACCGGGACAGCAAGGTGGCGCAGTGGATAGAGCACCAGACTTAAGTCAGGTTCAAATCCGGCTTCAGACCAAACACTTGACACTTAGTAGCTATGTGACCCTGGGCAAGTCACTTAACCCCAATTGCCTTTAAAAAAAAACCAACTTCATTATCTTGTGATTGCATTTTATGGTATTAGTCTTGTGATTATTTCTGGGGGTTGGGTAAAAAAGTCAGATAGTACTAATCCCCTCTTTACAAAGGTTGTCAGAACATAGCAAATAGTATCTTCTAATTTTTAGGAAGTATAAAGAAGTGCAGTTAATGTAGTGTAATTGTGTGTGAAGTACTGATAATATTTATATAACAACTTATGGTTTCCAGAGCACACATACATTTGTGCACATATATTATCACCATTTTAAACTTACACTAGATCTATGAGATTAGTGCCACTGATATGATTGCTCCCATCTTACAGACGAGAAAACCAAAGTGCCCAGACATTAGGTTAATTGCACAGGATTACACATTGGAAAATGTAACTGTGGTGTTGTGGTAAAGCACAGCAACCGTATCTTTTCACATTTTGGAATTGCCACTTATATGATTTTTCAAAAGTCTGAGTTTAGACTAAATGATGTCTAAGGATCTTTTTAGCTCTTATTTGATGATCCTTAAGTGTTGAAGGTATAGTGTAGAATGAATACTTCCTGATTCCATGGCCCATAGTCTATACTATGGGGGTTAGAGAGTGAAACTAACAGAGGCCTTAAGCACTTTACAGTAAAAGAAATAAGCAAAAAAAAAATCTTTTTACATTTTTGATAAATTGTAATGATTAGCAAATTTTTTTTAATCTAATTTTTTTTTTCCTTTCAGGGTTATTTTGATGAAGACAGGATGGATGAATTCATACCATCAGATTCTGATAAAACCTCAATGAGTTTAAGTTCAAATGATTACCCTAAGTAAATAGAATCTTTCTTTGTATAAAAATGCTGTGTATTTTTTTATTTCAAACTTCCATAAATAGCAATAGTAATGTAATAAAATTCAAAGTAACTGTCATTCTCATGTAATAGCTTATCATATTAAATTTTACTCTAACATTTATTAGCTAGGAAAGAAGATCTGTCTGTGTATATTCTCACTATTATAGTTTGTAAATTGTCATGTATTATGTATATAATATATGTATATACATATGCACATATACACATGCATACATTTACATATACTAATACTCATATACATATAGATCATAGAATTTGCACTTAGAAATTCACAATATCTTGAAAGTTTCCTTTTTTGTTTTTCTTGTCACCTTAGTTTTCTTGGAATTTTAAAAATTAACAATTAAAGGAAATCAGACTACTTATAAAAGAATAGTAATAATGACTTAATATTTTTAAACTTTTTAACATTTTTCAATCTACCTTTGAATGTATAAAATATTGTATTAAAGTTTAAATTTTTTGTAGAATAAGCAGTGCCACACTTAAGTCCTTTAGAAAGCTAAAATTTGTGCATTTTCCAGAAATATATATTCTCTGAATTAAAATATCAGCATTTTACCAGAAAATATTTATTTTAAATTTAAATATTTAAATATTTATTTTAAACTTTTAAACTTTTAAAAGTAGCCCTATATTACAGATTTAATTTTTTTACTTCATAATCTTTTCTAGGAAAAAAAAGGCCGAAGGGAAAGAAAGTACTGGCTCAAGTGGAAGTGATGATGCAGAAGTAATTAAAGTATGGAATTCAAGATCCAGAGGTGGCGGTGAAGGAAATAAGGATGAGCTGCCCAGCATTTCATCAATGACCATAAAAAAAGAAGAAAGTGAGTCTAATGTAGAAGTAAACTTTTACATTTATCTAAGGATCAAAAAATATTGATCATATGATGTCAGCTATTTATTTAGGGTTAGGTGAATTTCTTGGCAGGTGAAGCAGTGGGTTTATTATTACAAAATTTAAAGTCACATTACAGTTTACATTAAGATCTCATTATTTCAGAACCTACTAATTCTGTAGTTTAGATTGTTTAGATTGGGTAGAGTAAACAGTGACCTTTAATTTTAAAAACAGATTTATTGTCTACGTAAATTGTGTAAAGGTTTCCACAATAAAGATTACAAATAAAACCAATAAAGGTTTTCCATTCCAATAAAGGTTTCCACATTCTTTGAGTTTAAAAGTAACAAAACTTCATTTCTGAGAATATATTTTTTCCTATATTTTATTTTCTAAAACAAAGAACTTCTTAGGTAATAAGTAAGCTAATGTTTATAGAAAGTTCAGTGGAAAAAACAGATGAATAAACTAAATCACACAAAGGACCATTTATAGCAATTAAATTGAAGAGCATATAATAAATGAACGAAAATAACAATGTCTGTGAGATTTCTTTAACAAATACTTCTATATTTGTATTTTGTATTGTATTGTATTTTAGAAAGAGCAACATACTTTTCAAATCCAGGCAGCCCTCCTCCAGGCTGGTACAAAGATTTTATTACAGATTCTGATGCTACAGTGTTGGAACATTCTGGAAAAATGGTACTTCTTTTTGAAATTCTTAAAATGCCCAAAGAACTTGGGGATAAAGTGTGAGTAACATAATATGTTCTTGAAAAAATGGATTTGTATTCATCCCAGTATAATTAAATTAAATTACTTATTCTTCTAATAGCATATTTCAAGTTTGCATTTCATTTTTTATATTTCTATCTTCTAAAGAAAGCTCATTTTGGTAAGAGTTAATTCTTGTTTGCTGTCTCAAATACTTCTCAGAGAAATTCACACCTTTCCTTAGGCAACTATTTCTGTTAAAGTCTTACTTAATGGCCAGAAAATGCAAAAAATGGACTTTTTTCTCTTTTCTGTTAGGAAATAAATTTTAACAATTTTAGTTACAAGTTAGTCTCCTTTATAAAAAAAATTTGAAGAACCGGAACCCATCACTTTATGTGCTTTTTTAGTCTCCATACCACTTAATCAGCACAGTGTTCTGCACAAAACTGACATTCATTAAATAAAAATAAGGAAGACTGAATCCAAGGGAGAGAAAATCAAACTAAATTTAATATTTAATTTAGAAAATGGAACTAAATTTAATATATAATAGAAAGCAATTTCAATAAACAGCACTTTTTTTCCTTCCTAGGTTGGTGTTTAGCCAATCTCTAATATCTCTGGATTTGATTGAAGATTTTCTTGAATTGGGCAGTAAGGAAATGTCAGATGATAAAGACAAACCTCGAATTTATAAAGGTAAGTAAGTCATGCTTTAATGCTGAATTTCTGAAAAGAAAAAGTTTTGATATCAATGAAGAAAACTATTGAACTAATAACAAAACTAGGAGCTGGTTTTATGAGAAAAAAATGAAAAAACAGATGACATAATAAATAAACCAGTGGTTAATTTGATTTAAAAAAAGAGAGAAAGAAAACCAAATTACCAATATAAAAAACAAGAAGGGGTGAGTATACCACTACTGAAGATGAAATTAAATTAAAGCAGTTAGTAGGAGTGCTTTTGTCCAATTATATGCCAATAAATCTGACAATCTAAGTGAAATGGATGAATATAAAAATAAAATTGCCAGACTAACAGAAAAGAAAATAGAACATGCTCCATTTAAGAAAAAAAATGAACAAGACATCAATGATCTCTCTAAGTCCAGATGGATTCACAAATAAATTCTACCAAACAATTATTTCCAAAAATATATAAACTATTTGAAAAAAATAGACAAAGACGGAGTCCTTATAAATTACTTTTAACACAAATATACCTAAACAGGAAGAGCCAAAACAGAGAAAGAAAACTATAGACTAATTTCCCTAATTAATATTGATTCAAAGATTTGAAATAAAATACTTGAAAGGAAGTTATATCAATGTATCACAAGGATTCTACTCTATGAGCAGGTGGAATTTATACCAGGAATGCAGAGCTGGTTCCATATTTGAAAAATTAGTAGCATAATATAATATAAAAGTAACAAAACAAACAGAAATCTTATCATTATCTCAATAAATGCAGAAAAAGTTTTAACAAAATACAACACCTATTCCTATTAAAAACATTAAAGAGTATAGGAATAAATGGAGCTTTCCTTAAACTAAGTAGTAGCTTTCTAAAACAATCAAGTGTTATCTGTAAAGAAGGTAAGCTAGAAGTCTTCCCAGGAGTGAAGCAAGGCTACCCATTATAACCACTATTATTCAATATTGTCCTAGAAATGCTAACCTTGCAATAATATTAATTACTATTAATTATGTAGGTGAAGGAAAATGGTTTCGAAATATTGATTATTATCATTTGGATGGTTCCACAAGTGCACAGGCAAGAAAGAAATCGGCTAAAGAGTTTAATGATGAAACTAATGTGAGGTGGGTACTTGTAGATTTTTTTCCTCTCTCATTTATGTTGCAGACCATTACCAGTTTATAGGGGCCTTTTTCGTTCTTTGTTATCTTCAAAGTGATTTTGCTACTCATTTTATCTGGCATCCAGTGCATATTTCTTGAAAAATTTTCAGTTAAAACAGATACTCCCCCTAACTAGAAAACTATTTTCCTATTATTTCCCCCTTCTCAGTTTTTGTTAATTACACTTGCAAATCCTTGTAATCTAGCATTTTCTTTTCAAATTCTATTTTGAAATTCTCTAGTCATCTGATTTTATTATCTTCTTTCAATCATTTCACATAATAAATTGCAAATCTGACTTTTGGATTCATTAGTAATAAATCATGCATCTTAAGTACAAGATAGCAAATTTTGTATTTTAAAGCATATTATCATTTCCTCCTTCACATTTCGTTATGGTGCCATCATTTGAACATTTAAGCCTTTTACATTTTTCTAGTAAACTACTTCATCTTTAAAACATGCACACGTATGTGTGTGTATATGTTTTCAGTTTTTTGTGTTTTTGTTTTGTTTTTCTTTTTTGTTTTGTTTTGTTTTGTTTTGCTACCACCAAAAGAACAGGTTCAGAACTTTCCTGAAGAAAATAATTCCTTGACAATTAGGATTAGCCAAGTGGGAGCTAATACTTCTGAGACATCAAAAAGCAATAAAACAAAGTCAAAAGAATGAAAAAACAAGAAAATGTGAAATATCTCAATGGAAAAATGACTGACCTGGAAAATAGTACAAGGAGAAATAACTTAAGAATAACTGGACTACTTGAAAGCCATTATCAAAAAAAAAGCCTGGACATCATAGTTCAAGAAATTCTCAAGGAAAACTGCCCTTATAACCTTGTAATTGCCCCATTTTCATAGATTTCAATCTGTTTTAGACACTTTTTCCTGTTTTTCCTGTTTTTCCATTCTAAAGTCATTTTCCTTATCAGAGAAAATATATTTTAAAAGAAAAAATTAGATAATTTTCCTTTTCTCTGTTGTATGTTAATATCAGTCATCTACACAAACATTATGCATCAATACTGTCTTTGATTGTCACCATTTCCTTATTTGTAGTGAAAATAAGATAGCATCCTTCCGTTAAAATTAAGGTAAATATTTTTGTTCATTGTCACTATTTGATATAGTGCAAGAATGCTAATTGTACGAATAAGAGAATGAAACGAAATTGAGAGAATTAGCATGAAAAAAGAGGGAAAATGAATGCTTTTTGCAGATGATCTTGTGGTTTATTTAGTGAAAACCCAGTCAGTTAATTGAAACAGTAGATTCAATAAAATAGCAAGATGTCAAATTTACATCACAATAGTATTTATATTTATTAACATGAGAGTTCAACAGACTATAGTTGAAGGATAAACTCTATTCAGAATAATTACAGATAGTATGAAATACTTGCAAATATTTCTACCAACAGACACACAAGATCTACATGACCACAAGTACAAAACATTCATCATGGAAATAAAGACAGACCTAAGTAATTGCAGAAATATTAACTACTTGTTATTCCGCGATTCCAAGGACCAGTGATTACCTGTCTACCTAGACTCTAGACTCAAGATGCAGAATGAGACATGCATTTTTTTCCCTGGATTTAATCTATAGGGAAATTTATTTTGTTTGTCTGCATATTTGTGACAATAGTTTTCTGTTTCTTCCATTTTTCCCCTTCTTAATTTAGGGGTTGGAAATACTGGAAGAAAGAAAGTATATGTTTCTTAATTGAATAAATAAGAAAAATAAGTTAATCAGAGATTACTGATTAAATGTCAGTGTGCTTTTCCCTTCATATTTTGATAAGTTATTGCTACCTGAAATACTTTGTCTGCCTACATTCTTTGTCTATATGCTTCTGTTTCTGGCATGTGGCAAATGAACCTATGTATTTTCTTACTCATAAAGGCAATATTTCATGACAAATTTATTAATATTATAAGAATAATCTTTTATTAGACTACTTACTTTTTTCTTTTTAAATTTGTAGGGGCCAGCTGTTCATTATTTCTACCAAAGCAGGGTCTTTTGGAATTAATCTGGTAGCTGCTAATCGAGTAGTTGTCTTTGATGCTTCTTGGAATCCATCCTATGACATTCAGAGTATATTCCAGGTTTATCGCTTTGGTCAAAATAAACCAGTCTTTGTGTACAGGTTTTTAGCTCAGGTAAGTTTCAACTTTTCATATAACAAATTGAAAGTACAAGCAAAAGTTTGAAGCTGGTGAGTAATTATGGGTAAGCAAAATGACATTCCATACTTTACATACAATCAACTTGAGTATTTTCCATAAACACACAAGGCCATCTCAAAATATGTTCGTTGGTCAAGTAATTCCCCTCCCCTAATTAATATCATACATGTATATGTATATAGATATAGATATACATATACGCACATATAGTAATATAGAACAGTATATTTGCCAGTCATTGTATTAAGTACTGGGATTTCAAAGAAAACAGTCCCTTCTCTTACTGACCTCACAGCATGCAAACAATTCTGTTGCTTGAGATATATAGAGTATACCAGAAGCAATCAGCATTGAGAGGGTCTAGAAAAAGCCTCTTGCAGAAGTAAATTGAAACTTCAGGAAAGAAAGGAAGCTTCAGAGACAAGTCAGTCAGCTCATAGGAAAGTCACTGAATGCCTGCAAATGCTCAAAAAATGGCTATCTGAGGCCTCATCATTATACAGCAGCTTGTATTTCTAGAAGCAGACTATCCCAATATCTGAATGAGTCAGCAAAGTAGATTGTTGACGCTCAAAGGACTTGGTGAGTCTTATGTGTTTTTATATGCAAAAGCTAATTGCTAGATAGTTGGAAAAAGAAAATACTGGAAAGTCACTTTCGCAGCAGTAAATACAATAATGGAATAGGATGTAATCTATGGAGTCAGAGAGACCAATTAGGAGGTCATTGTAGTCATTCAGAAAAGAGGTAGTGAGTGCCTAAATTAAGGTGTTAGTTGTGTGAGCACAAAGAAAGTTAAATGTGAGAGATTTGTAAACATACAAATGACAGTCTTTGGCAAGATTTGCATACGTACAATAAGGAAGATTGAGGATAATACTGAAGTCCCAAAGCTGGGAGATTGGAAGATGGTAGCATCTTAAACAATAATGGAGAAGTATGAAAGAACAAAAGGTTTAAGGGGAAAGAGTTCAGTTTTGTATATGTTTACTGTAGGATGTCTATAAGACTTTCATTTTGAAAATCTGGAAGTCATCAGCATAGAGATGATGGTAAAAAGTGATTACCAAAAGGAAGAGTAAAGAGAAAAGGGCTTAAAATCAAACCTTAGGGACACCCGTGGTTAACTGGCATGATATTAATGATGGAGTTCACAAAGCAGACTAACAGTAATTGAAAAGAATTACATCTGGTTTTGTGGATTCAAGTTATCAAGCACTGGCTATGCAAAACCAAAATCTTTGAAGTAAAATTTCATAGTAGTGAAATGTGAATATGTTATGTATTTATGGGTTCAAATTCTTATACAGGGAACTATGGAAGATAAGATCTACGAACGTCAAGTAACCAAGCAATCACTCTCTTTTCGCATTGTTGATCAACAGCAAGTTGATCGCCATTTTACTTTGAATAAACTGACTGAACTTTATACATTTGAGCCAGACTTACTAGATGATCCTAATTCAGAAAAGAAGAAAAAGGATACTCCTATGCTGCCAAAAGTATATATGATAATTTAATTATTATTAAGCCTAGTATAAAAGAGAGATATTTTATGAGTAATTTTTAAAAGTAATCATAATAATTTAGTATAATAATTTAGTATATAATAATTTAGTATAATAAATTAATTTATTTTTAGTTTTCAACATTCATTTCCACAAGATTTTCAATTCCAAATTTTCTCCCCATCTCGCCCCTCCCCCCAAACCCAGACAACATACATTCTGAATACCCCTTCCCCCAATTTGCCCTCCTTTCTATCAACCCCCCTTCTTTTATCCCCTTCCCCTTTTATTTTCCTGTGGGGCAGGATAGATTTCCATACCCCATTGCCTGTATATCTTATTTCCCAGTTGCATGCAAAAGCAATTTTTAACCCTAATCTACTTCTAACCCTAACCCTAATCTACTTCTTATGATTCTGTTGCTCTTTTCTTACACTGACTGTCACAAAATAAAGTCGAATTAAAAATGAGATATTTAAGGCTGACCTGCATGTTGTCAAGAAAACATGTTCTGGTTCTTAGATTTAATGCTAATTTATCTTTTTTTTTTCTTTAAACAGGACATAATCCTTGCAGAATTGCTTCAAATACATAAAGAATACATAGTAGGATATCATGAACATGATTCTCTTTTGGACCATAAAGAAAAAGAAGAACTGACTGAGGAGGAAAGAAAAGCAGCATGGGCAGAATATGAAGCAGAAAAAAAGGTTGAGTCACTTAATTCCTTTATGGTATATTCAAAACTATATAGTATTGTTAAAAACATTTATAGTAGAATTTACCTATTTTAATACTCAGACCTCAGAATGAGAAGCATCCCGGGAAGCTGGCCTTGAAGCCAAGAAGACTTGGGTTCAAATAATACTTTTCTGAAATCATCCTGTGAATCATTTCCTACAGGATAGTAATTTTCATTCCATCACATACACATATCATTATTTGTTTAGTCATTCCCTTATTTTGCCACAGCAAAAAGAATGACTATAGTTTTTCATATATGTGTTCTTTTCTTCTTCCCTTTGTTTATTTAGATTTGCCTTGTGCATAGTACACTGTAGTTGTCACATTTATCAATTTACGAAAATGCAGGTAGTTTTGTTTGTGTGACAATAATTTTCTAGCTATAGATATCAACAATTTTTCAATGTCAGTAAGTGGTATTAAATTGCTTGTTTCAAGCCCTAATATTTGAAACTATTTTTGTCTCTTTGTTTGTTTCACAGGACCTACCTCTGCATTTCCCTTTGCCTACCATCAGTTTCAGCTCTGAGCCTCCATTTATGCCTTTTGATATGAAAGCCCTCTCATCAATGAGCCATCAGCAGCTGGAAGTAAGTTTTGAAAAAAGAAAGAGATATAAATATAAATCTGAATCTGAGTCATTGAAATTTAAAGGCAGTCAGTGTCTCTGTCTGTCCATCTGTCTCTATCTGTCTGTCTTGTAGTCACTAGTCAAACAATGGACATGAATCTTAAGCATTTTTCTAGAATGCAAATTTAAAAAAGAGTCCCTGCCTTCAAAGAGCTGACATGTTCCCAAATAAGTAGAAGAAAATATATACAAAATAAATGCACAGTGATTAGGATCATTTGTTAATACTGGCTTAATAATAATGTTCAGAATTCAAAAGGGCTGTACAAGGAAAGGAACAAAACGAGAATAGGCAGAGAAAGAGGGCATAACGGTAAATGAACTAATAAATAAAACTGACAGCTAGAAAAAGCAATAAAATAGACAAACCTTCAGATTCTTTAGTGTAGTGGATAGAGTTTGCTCACTTTTGGATACTTGATTCCATTCAAAGATAGTTTGTCTATTTTATTGCTTTTTCTAGCTCTTAGTTTTATTTATTAGTTCAATAGTTGACTTAATTTCAGTTTTATTAATCTCTCCTTTGGTTTTCAGAATTTCTAATTTGGTATTTTCAGTTTGTTCTTTTTCTAGCTTTTTTAGCTGCATGACTTATTCATTGATCTGCTCTTTCTCTATTTTATTCATATAAACATTGAGAGATATAAAACTGCCCCTAAGAACAGTTTTCACTGCATCCCAAAAGTTTTGGTATGTTGTCTCATTATTGTCATTCTCTTGAGTGAAATTATTGATTGTTTCTATGATTTGTTGTTTGACCCATTCATTCTTTAGGATTAGATTATTTAGTTTCCAATTAATTTTTAGTCTATCTTTCCATGGCCCTTTATTACATGTAATTTTTATTGCATCATGATCTGAAAAGGATGCATTTAATATTTCTGCCTTTCTGCATTGGATTGTGAGGTTTTAATGCCCTAGTACATCTTATATTCTGCAGTATATGTGTTTGTGTGTATGTGCACATCTACATATAAATAATGAAATATATGTTTAATTGAAAAGGGGAGAGAGCACTAACAAAAAAGGGAAAAGGGGGAAGTTTATGCCTCTCTTGAGTCTTGTATTTGAAGGTCAAATTTTCTGTTGAGCTCTTGTCTTTTCATCAGGAGGGTTTGGAATTCTCCTATTGCATTGAATGTCCATCTCTTGATGGAAAAGTGAATGACTCAGAGCGTGATTGGAAATGGTCAGTGCAGAAATTTGTTTTGCTTGCCTATACGTAAAAGGGATTTTGTTTTTCTTACTTTCTCAAGTAGAGAAGAGGTTTAGACTGCAAAGGGATGAAGAAGGTAGATTTCTATTGACTGAGAAAAATAAAGTATAATTTCTTTAAATTAAAAAAATACTTATTAATTGTTTGTGAGCAGAGAGGACCAGGAAAGACCTCTTGATGATTCTATTGATCCTATTTATAATTGTTATTGTTCTTTAACTGCCTGAATCATGGTTCTTTGTTTCTGACCTTCATTCAGAAGTTTAGCTGGCCTGTAATTTACTTAAGTTCAGAAATCCAGCTTTCCTGCCAATAACTCTTCTCTTCTCACCTCAAGGAATTCTTCTGTCTAGCCCAGTTTCCAACCAATCATATTTGTTCCCCATGCCTCAGCTATGTGACTAGTAGTGTTGTCCTCAACCCCAGAATGTCACCTACATTATTCTCATTCTTTGTTCTTTACTTCCTAGAATAGATAAGATCTATCGCCCTCATTTGGGGTTTTAGGTTACTAAGATCTATTAATTGGTAAATTTGGGCTTTACTAATAACTTATTGTGCTTAGAACTTTGTGCCTCAGTTTACCTAATTTTAACAGTTACATATGTGTGTATACATATATATTTTAAAAACTTATCAAAAATCCATTTCAGGATCTTATTAGTCAGGGAAGAGAAAAAATAGAGGAAGCTACCAACAATGTGATGTCAATGAAGATTCAACCTCTTGAAGATATAATTTCAGCTGTTGTAAGTTAAATGACTATCTTGCTTTTTCTCTTTACTTTTATATTTCACTGTGCTTTTACAAATAATTTCATGATTTTTTTGTTTTTGTTCTTTCAATTTGTTTATCTATCAAATGAAACTGTCAGCCATTCTATTTGGCTACAACTTCTAGTTTAATTTTAATATGAATGTTAATATATATATATATAAATATTTATATGTTTCATTTCATCTATATAATAGTCTCAGTTTATTGATGGCTAAAATTGCAAAGTCAGAATATCAAAAATGTATTGTTTATAATTGGTATGAGAATCATGTTATTCTGAGTAATAAAGGCAAGGGTAAACAAGGCTAAAGGTTCTGTTTTTTTCTCTTCCTTCATTAGTCTCCCCTCCACATAGCTGACACACTGAGTGACTATGTCATTTTCTTGCTCAATCTCTAGTACAAAATAAAATAAACTCCTCTTTGTGTCAGTTAAAGCTATTTAACAACCTAATTCCACTCCAATCTATGCATTGTACAATCCAGTCAAATTGGTTTTCTATTTTTATATACACAACATACTTCCACCCCTGTCCCTTTGTTACTGATTAATTATCACTGTCCCAAGAATGGTCCTCCTCTTTACCTCCACATCCCATGTGCCACTTTCAACATACTTCCAAATCTTTTAATTTACTTTGTATGTAGAGACTGTCTGTAATTGTAATTGTAGTCATATAGTGCCTGACACACAGTAAGTACTTAATAAATGATTGTGTACTGGTATCTAAAGTCTTTTTAAATCAGGAGTAGGAATAAGGATCCTCAGAGTTTACAGGGTTTACTTTGTATTCCTAAGTGTGGCATATTGGTCTGTAATAAATGCTTAATAAATAAATTCAATTTAAGAGTTGTTTTTGTGTTGTGTTTTGCTTTAGCAGAAAGAAAATACACATATGACAGAAACTCAAGTATATTCCTTGGCATTAAGTAAGCATGCCCGCCAGGAACAAGATGCTAAACATAGAGAAGCCATATACAATGATGTATCATTAAGACAGCAAATGGTAAATTTATTTTCACACTTCTATAGACTTCACCAAGCTCCTTATTTAGAAATTTCAAAATAAGTGAGGACAATAGTTGCATAGTCATGACTTTTTTTTAAAGCAGAGAAACAAAAGATTATTTTGGAAAATATTCTTGAAGTTGCTTAGCTCCTAACAACTTAATTTCTGACTCATGATCATTATGTTGAAACAATTTGTTCTGAAAAAATATGTGTAGATGGATTGGCTAGTTGGATATAGCTAGATAGATGATAGATTGATTTCTGTGTTTAAATTTAGGCATATAGGTATGTATACTTATATGCATCTGATACATAATATTGTATATTATATTATTGGATTATATCTATTCTACTAACTATCTGTTATTATATCAATATTACATTTTATATATATAAACTAAATTGTTAAGAAAATTACATTACTTTCTAGATCTTAAATTCTTTATTTGTGAATGCCAATTTGTGAGATGAGTCACTTTGAATATGATACTCTTATAAACTTATTTCATTTATTTTCTTTTCAAACAAAAATAATGAGGTTTAGAGTTGGAAGGAACTATACTTACAGGGAGGATATAACTGGGAAGTAGTAAATGAGAAAGTAAGGATTCAAAATTTAGCTTCTCTAAATTCAGATCCAAAATTCTTTCCATTCTACAGGGTCAATAACTTGAATTTTTCTTTCACAGTTAATAAGCTGTGTCCAGGAGATACGAATGAATAGAAAACTACTACAACAATATAGTGAAGAACTATTAAATCAAGAAGAAGCTTCAACTCATGACCTTCAGCTGCCAGCGCCTCCAAGTGTAGTCATAAATCCCTCTAGTTATCAGCATATTGATGTGAAAGGAATGTATCAGACAACAGTTCGTGGTATGGAACCCCAACTAATAAGAAGCAAGAATCCAAAAACCTCTCAAAGGAAATCAATGTAATTTTCCTCTAAAATGTTGAATGTGTTATAAAATTAACACTGGCTTAATGGAAATCATATATGTCTTAATTCTTTGTTCCCTATAAATGTCATACTCTATATTTAATTTAGATTTTTCTTATTTAATTTTTATTTTGAAATTTGAGATTAATATTGGCTACATTTTTGTTATATATGCTAAATTGAGAAGAGATTTCAAATACTTTTTGTTGAAAACTTATTCAAGAATAATAACATAGAATCTATAGTATTTCCTCTAAATTTTGTTACCTGTTTCCTGAAAACAACCAAATTAATAAAAAAAAAGTTTCTGTATTTATCAGATTCTTACATAAAATGTCAGGAACTGATAATAAGAGATAAATTTTTTTTCTAATAGTTCTTGAAATTAAAAAGGAAGAAGTAATCTCATGTTGATTTACTTCAGATCAAAACTTTGTGTTTTACTAAGTTGCATATATAGATGAAAAATTTGGGAATGAGTAATCATCTTGAAATAGTTTGCAGTTTTCTTCCACAGCCACCTTTAAGTTAAATTTTAAAAGTTTACCCTCAGGTAATTGATTCCTTGTATTTTGCATTATCCTATGGTGAAGGATTTGACCACAAATTGAAAGTTTTAAAGTATTCCAACTATTTAAAAAATATTTAAAGTATTCAAAGCAAGGTTTCCTTGTTTGCTTGTTAAAGTTGTTCATTTTCTATTTCTCCCCTCCAAAATATTTAATTTAAAATGTTAGTATTAAAATTTCTTTTTTTAAATATCTTTCATAAATACCTCTTAATTTTTCTTGTGATAATTTTTGCTGGTTTTTTGTTGGTTAAAGAACAGATGATTAATAGCATATTAAAAAAAAAGCTCAACAGACAAAAATACAGGACAACTATTTGTAAAATGAGTTTCAAATTTTGCATTTTTTGACGTTTAGGTTTAACACATGAGAAATACTAAATTAATTGGAAATGTGAAAGAATGAAGCAAGAATTGAAAACTTTACATATTCTGTCTCCCCTGCCCAAAATCTTAGAGGATATATGCATTGAATAAAACTTCCAACTTTACTGAAAACTTGCAGCAATACCTATTGTAATTGTTTGAGATGCCACTATGTTGTCTGGCTATAGTGGCCTTAAAAGACTGATTGCTTGTTAAACACACTTTAAATGATTTGTTTATTTTAAAACCATTAATCATATTTGTTGTTTTATGTATTTTAATTCAATTATATAGTAAAACTTCAGTCTGTCATGCAAAATCTCATATACCTATGAAAAATTAAGCTTCATTTCTGTTAGATGGTTTTTCAATTCCCTCGAAAATTTTAAGTGCTTTAGAAATTATTTCACTTCTCAGTTTTTTCAAATATACATAAGAACTAGAATTGCATGTGTGGAGGGGAGAAGTTAAAAACTCAAATATAGCAAGGTATTTTATCTTTCAAAATGTTGTTTGGAAGTTGTAGTTATTAAACTTGAAACATGTTTAAATAAAAACTGATTAAAATACAGTGTTTTTATTGCTTAAATTTTTGATTACACAAACTAATATGTTGAACTTTGCCAGCATGGGTTAGTTAACTCCTTTGGGTTATTAGTTAATGGTTACATTTTATCCTGTGATAAAATCATTGAAACTTTTTTATCCTTAGTTTGTTCTTCGGGAAAATAATGATAACAATTCCCATACTGACTATTTCAGAACTCTTTTACAAACTAAAGTTTATTATTTGCTATGTCTTACTTAGTAACTGGAAACCAGAATTTAATGGGATTTCACAAACAAGCCCTGACTAAATAGCAGTTTCCTTCAGTGATATTCTTGACAATTATTCATTTGCTCACCACTTGCAAACTCCCAATGAGAAACTCTCACAAATTCCCATTGAGTAATGCAGCTCCTTTCTTCCTTCCACCCTCCTTCATTCCTCCTTTTTTCTATCCTTCCTTTCTTCCTTTTTCTTTCCTCCTCCCTTCCTTCCTCCCTCCTTTTCTCCCTTCCTCCTTCCCTCCCTCAATTCTTTTCTTCCTTCCTAGTTTCCTTCATTCCTTTCTAAAAATCCTTCCAAGTTTGCTTCCTTCTTTCCTAAATTCCTTTTTTCCTTCCCTCCCTTCCCTTCCCTTCATTTCTTTACTGTTCCACTCTCTTGGTCCATATCATTATACTTTTACATGAAGTTGCTCAGCCAAAAGGAATGTAAACTTTTATAGCAGAAACCTATCTTGGGATTTATGGGCTAGATTTGTTACTTAAAGATGACTTAAACCCAGTTCACTCTGGCTCTCCTTGACTTGCAAACAATAGATCTCAGCAAAAACCCACAGTGATCATTGTTTGGGCCTTGGAGGCCCAGAATGAAAGTTAATAGAAATAGTTTTCTCTTTTCACCAGAAACTCTGAGGGCCTTTCTGTGAGGGATTGTCTGAGGTTGGCTACGTGCCCACGTGTGACTAGTGGTAAGATGGGGCAGGGACAAGATATTAGGAAGTAACCGGAACTGGGGTAGGAACAGGATACGGGGAAGTAACCGGAGCTCACGCTCCCGAGGCAGGGGGCTGTGCCACGTGGGAGTGGGACGGCAGAGAACGAGCTTCCTTTGTCACGCCCTGTCCCTTGGTACAGCGCTAACCCCAGACGTCTCCTTCCGGTATCTGAACCTAGCTTCCCTTGTCACTGCCTCTCCTTTGGTGCAGCACTAATCCCAGAAGTCTCATTCTGGTATTATGCCCAATCACTGAAGGTGGACTGAGGAGGAGAAGTTAGTAAAGCATATAAGGGGGAGTAGGAGCCGGGGCTCTCTCTTTTGCTCTTGCTCTTGCTCTCCTGCTTGGTTTGCTGTGATGGTCTCTGAATAGATCGGCTCATCTCTATGTTTATCTGGGTAGGCTCCAAAGGCTGGTAAGTATGACCCTGACAGCCTGCTCCTGTTAGGAGGAGAGTGCATGGCGCGGCCAGCACAAGTGGCGCCCAACGTGGGGCTTAGGGAAATAGACTAGGGGCCCTGCTGATCAGCTGACCTGGTCGTGGGAAGGGAGATGAGACCCCATAGCCTACAGGGTGAGGGAAGGAAGATGGGACAGACGTTTGTTAAGGTCCCGGATCGGGAGGAACTAGGGAAAGAAGTATGTAAAATAGTGAAAAAAGCCGGGGTAGAAATAGATCTGAAAACTGCGAGGGCATTCATAGATACAATCCAGCAATGCTGCCCCTGGATACAGTACAACGACCTAGACCTAACTAGATGGGAAACAATTGGTAATCAGATGGACTCTTACAAGGGAACAGATCCAGGGACCATTCCGGAAAGACACCATCTGATTTACCAAGTGATTCCCAGCACCCTGAGAGGCTCGAGTCGCAATCCCTTGAGAGTTGAGATTGGAGCTCAAACAGAAAGGCCGAAGGGGAAGAAATGTTACAGAACTACCCAGACTAGCCGCACCGTTAAGATGGCCAGAGTGGAAATCAGTGGTGAGGAAGAATCAGGCAGTGAGGCACAGGACACCGGAAACAGGAAATGGGAGAATAGGCAAGGGAAAAGAAAGGAAGAGCATAGCAAGGAAAGCTCCGCCTATCACACAGAGGGGTGGCCCCCTCCTCCAGACTTCCCTTTTGAGGAGAACATTCCATCCACTCCTCCAGCTCCCTCTTATGGGGCCATAGGGGACCCCCCAACCAGGCTAGGACGAATGCTCCCGAGGGCAGTGGCAGACGGAGAAATGGACACCAAGGCATAGCTAGATGCCTGCCTGGTGTTTGAAACTGATGGAGGGAGGACCTGGGCCCCTCTAGAATGGAAGAAATTTAAGGAGTTATAAGAGGCAGTGAGTACTTATGGAGTTGAATCCCCCTATGTCAAGGAACTGATGGTCCACCTGGCCGATAGTCATGTATTAACCCCGAATGACTGAAAAACCATTGCCAAGGTATGCCTTAAGCCAGGAGAAACCCTGCAATGGATGACTCTGTTTGCAGATATCACAAAGAACTTTGTTAGAGATATGCAGAGTTGCACTCCCCAAGATGACTTTCATAAGATAGTGGGGGCAGGGAGATATGAGAAAAATGAAGATCAGATGTGATATGACGCAGCAGAGTATGCAGCTGTCTCCCAATGTGCCCAACGGGCTTTTAGTAGGATTCAGGCTTCAGGGAAACAAAGGCCTTCTATGACCAAGATTAAACAAGGTCCTGATGAACCCTTCCTGGATTTTGTGGCCCACTTACAGGCAGCTGTTGAGTGATCCATGGGCAGGGGAGAAGCTGCCAGCCTCCTTGTACAGAGGCTGGCACGGGACAATGCCAACGCGAAATGCCAGAAGGCTATGCTTACATTAGATGATGACGCTGGCCTAGAGGAGATGATAAAGAGATGTGAGCATATCGGGTCCAGTGCCCTTAAACTGGAAGCCCTCATGGTGGCCATTTCGAAAGGGGTCTCAGAAGGGATGAAAACAAAAGAGACTAAATTATGTTATCAGTGCGGCAAAGCCAGTCATTTTAAGGTGCAATGTCGCCAGAAACCCGGTGGTGCCCGTCCCAAGGTAATTTGTCACAGTTGTAACAAACCTGGTCATTATGCTAAGGAGTGCCACAAGTCAAAGTCGGGAAATGGGGCAAGGGGCCCCTTGAGGGCCCCTCAACAAGCTTACCAGATGGAAGCCCAACCCCCTCAGAATGCGCCTTCAGGGCTGCATCAGGAATATCTCCAACTTCTACCCCGTGGTTCGGACTTCCCCTTCACAGCAAAGGAAATTTCCAAATCGACCCCGGAGATACAACCATAGTGCCAGTAACTGGGCTTGATTCTGCCCTCAAAGCAGCCCTTGTGGTGGGCTTTTTGTTATATACCCCCGTTATTGTCCACACCACGGTTATTGCTCACCAACCCCAGCAGCAGATTATAGTAACTAACCCACATGATTCGGCAGCTTACATAGTCAAAGGGGAGGTGGTGGCTCAAGCCCTCCCCCTGTTGGATGGGCACAACAATGATATTAATT